TGCTTAAAGTTTCTTCAGTACTAAAAAAAATTACCCTAAAGTAAACTACTTACATCATTAATAATATGCACTCATTTAATTTGTAATAAACTTAGAATATCTTGGTATGTATTCTTAAAATGTATATTGTTGTAGATAACAATTTAAACACCCTCTGTCAAATTCATTATGCTGCTTTAAAATATGTATGGTAGCTTTATAGACGTTCCTTTCACTCTAGCCAAGAAAAGACGTTGCTGATCAGTCTTAGAAACAAGTACATCTTGGGTTGGTTGAGTAAATGGTTTTAAGTCAGTGTAAACTAATAAAAAAAATGTGAATTTGGAAATTTAGAGTGTGGTGGAATAATATTAGTAACACCTTGTGCTAATATATATTCCAGTTCATTAATTTATAATTTGCACATAACAACCAGGGGAATAAATAGGTTAGATATTGGCTTCATTTTAGAAATGAGGAAGCAGGCTCAGGTGAATTAAGTTAACTTTCTCAGATCTCATGGCTGGAAAATGGTAAATCTTGACCTAAGACAGATCATGTGACCTCCTTCAGGAATTCTGCTATAGTCCATTTCAAGATGGTTTTAGAAATTGAGTAATTTCCTGGGATTGAAGTGAGAATGGCATCAATGGAAATGGTATTTTAGAGGGAAACCACGTAAATGTACTTTTTGATGGGAAATAATATGATAATACTTTTTGTGTTTAGTTGTCTTAGCTATTTTGAGTTACATTTACTCTCAGAAATGGTTTGAAATTCTACTTTGTTAACCCATGTTATTCATAATTTAAGACTCAGGAAACAACACATTCATTGGCTGGCTCTTTAAATTAGAAATCAGTAGCTTGAGGTGGAAGGGAAAGGTTGGAAATGTCCCCTCTAAGTTTAGGATTTTGATTTAGACAAGAAAAGAATGATTATCTGCTAGAAGGAGGATGTAAATTTAGCGAATGCTCCTAGTAGATGTTGGAAGCTCTTAGTTTCTACTGGAATGAGAGAATGAATAGACTGATTAATTTCAGTGGCCTTATATTGCCTTTTTACAAACTTAATAAAGATTTCTACTGCTTTATCTCTTGAACACACATGTTCTTATAGACTACAGTGTTTTCAGCTTTATTGAAATGTGTCAGATACTGTATAGTTGCAAAAATGGATATAAAAATAATTTTTTAGGCCATGCGAGATGCAGAGCGTGTAAAAGAAATGAAACGAATGCACAAAGCTGTCCAGAAAGATCTGCCAAGACCATCAGAAGTAAGTATTAGAATTTCTGGCTTAGAAAGTCTTAAGTTTCTTTTTATGCAATTGATGTTTTTTATATTATTTGTAAAGTCTATAAAATAGCATTTCATCTACTTTCTGGAATATAATAAAGTAGTTACCAGATCCGTATTCTTGAAATGCTTCACTGGTACATATAAGAATTTTGAAGAAAAAAAAATAATTTCCTTTGAAAATGTTAAAGTCCTATAGGCATACCTCGGAGATTTTGTGGATTTGGTTCCTGACCACCACAATAAAGCAAATATGGCAGTAAAGTGACTCACGTGGCTTTTTTGGTTTCCTAGTGCATGTAAAAGTTACATTGACACTATCCTGAAGTTTTTAAAGTGTGCTTTAGTATTATATCCCCCCTCAAAAAAAGTACTTTAATTAAAAACGTCTTTGTAGCTAAAAAGTGCTCATTATTATCTGAGCCTTCAGTGAATTGTAATCTTTTTGCAGTAGTAACATTAAAGATCATGGATCACAGATCACCATAACAAATAGAAAGTAATGGAAAAGTTTGAAGTAGTGTGAGAATTACCAACATGTGACACACAGACATGAAGTGAGCAAATGCTGTTGGGAAAATGGTGCCAATGGACTTGCTAAACATAAGGTTGCCACAAACCTTCAATTTGTAAAAAACATACTATCTGCAAATTACAGTAAAGTGAAGCACAGTAAAATGAGGTGTGCCTGTATTTAATTCATGCTAGAACAAGTAATAACTTGTAACATTAGTAATAACATTAGTATGTGTAGTAATATGTTTAATAATTGCACTTGTTTTAAAATTTTAGGTAAATGAAACTATTCTAAGACCCTTAAATGTAGAACCACCTCTAACAGATTTACAGAAAAGTGAAGAGCTAATCAAAAAGGAAATGATCACAATGCTTCATTATGACCTTCTCCATCACCCTTATGAACCATCTGGAAATAAAAAAGGAAAAACTGTAGGATTTGGTACCAATAATGCAGAGCACATTGCCTATCTGGAACATAACCCTTATGAAAAGTTCTCCAAAGAAGAGTTGAAAAAGGTATTGAATATTGCTGTCTTGTGTGATTTAAGTATTTGTTAGATACTGTGTATCATGGATAAACGTTAACATATTTTCCCATATTGATAGTCATAAACAACTGAAATACATAGTTAGGAGATAAATGTTCATATTAAGCGTTATGAGGAGGACAGAGTTAATTGCCCCCTCTTCCCCATGTTCAGGTAAACACTGGTTTGATGGCAAGGTGTTTTTCTTTCCTGGTTGTGTGCCTGATTGACAGTTGCTACAGTTGCCATTTTCTGTGTTTAACTCTGCTGTCTCCAAATAAAGCGGAATGCCTACTTAAACCTCAGTTATTTAGAGTACTGTGAAAAAGCAAGACTGTATTAAAAATACTTACAGATTAAACCTTTCACCTGTTGAAAGAAAGGAAATACTCTTTACTGAATCAGGGAAGGTGAAATTTAGGAAATACATTTCCCTAAACTTTCCATTGTTTGTATGGAAACTTGAAATAAAGATCATGTTGTTGCTAATAGAGGTTCTATAAGGGACAGATTCTAATAATCAGTTAGTAGTGATTTGGAATTATTTGAAACTGTTACACATTAGTTTACATATCCTCCTCTATTTTATTTATCTATTTATAGTCTTACTTATTCCAAAAAGAATTTGAAGCAGCTATTTACTTAGCAGATTCTGTATGGACAGTTTAAATAGAATTTAGCTTTACTCTCTCCTAATTAGCACAAGAGCTGATTTAGTAAATTTTTACTATGTACAGTTTCAAAGTGAAATACTATATTATAAGGAAAAAAGTGTCAGATTTTCATGAAGTATTTAAAATTGGTTTTTTTCATTATTTCCCCTAAGAAGTATTGTTTTAAAGTGTCTACTATAGAAAAGATGTCCATTTTTTTTTGTTTAAATGTATCTTATGCTGGTTATTCATCTTGATTTTAGTCTGTGTTTATTTTCTGATGTTACTGGAATGATCAAAAACATTCTATAAAGCACAAAAAGTAGTTGTCAGTTTTTCATGAGCTTTGAAGCAAAGGGCTGGAAAAAGTTCATGCAGCGTGCTCACGGAGTCTGTCTGGTGTTGGGCTAGGCTCTTTGTGTATACTGTATCACTTAATCCTCGTAACAGACATGCTAGGTGTTACTCCATTTTACAGATGAGAGAGGACTTGGGGTTAAGTAAGTTCAGGTAGTTGCTTAGATGCTAAAGCTGTGATTGGAGCCCAGGCTTGTCCATCTCAATCCTCCTCATTCTGTCATCTTAAACTGGTTCTTTCATAGTGAACAAAAACTGGTCTGTGATCCATCATTACTTGATTTGTGCCTCCAGTTTCATTTTCTGGCAGTGTCAAGGGTATTCTTCCAGATGAGAAAAAGGTCGTGTGTCAAAAAAACGCCTGCTTCCCCTTTGTGATATCGTGAAGTCCGAAGTGTAGACGGCGTGGTGGAGAGGAGGCAGCACCGTGCCCTTTGGCCTGGGCATGAGCCTTCCTTGTCTACTTACTAGTGTTTTTGAACAAGTTGTTTAATCTCCATGAGCCATCATTTCATCAACTTTAAAGTGAGGTTAATATTGACTGCTTTGTAAGGGTGACTGTGGTGTTTGGTGATAAAGTACGTAAAAATTTTCAATCTGGTACCTAGCACATAGTAGATATCTGAGAAATGGTAGCTGCTGTTATGAGTGAAGGCTAAGGGTGTTTATATGATTGTGGTTAATACATAGATACTAGGTTTTTCAGATCTGCATTGGCTTAATAGACTTCTTAATTCATTTTGCTTAGGTATTGTACCCTGCTTCCAAAAACAGTCAACCAGAGCTCCTTGTCTTTGCCCAAAGAAGGAAAAACTAGTCTTTTAAAGTGTTCTATTGATGGCAAGTATCTCTAGTACTCAAACTTACTGAAATTATTATTGTGAACAGGCTCAGGACGTTCTGGTACAGGAGATGGAAGTGGTAAAACAAGGTATGAGCCATGGAGAACTCTCAAGTGAAGCTTATAACCAAGTGTGGGAAGAATGCTACAGTCAAGTTTTGTATCTTCCTGGGCAGAGCCGCTACACACGGGCCAACCTAGCTAGCAAAAAGGACAGAATTGAGTCACTGGAAAAGAGGCTTGAGGTTGGTATCCTTTTAAAATTCTAATTTAAATGTACTTTGATTGAAATAATAAACCAAATACTACTACTGGAGATAACTTCAGAAAAAAAGATCTAAGATAATTGTTACTTCTGTACTTAACGAAAAACTGCACTGAAGCGTTTGATCTTCCTTGGCCTTCTTCATTGGTTTTTCAGAGTTGCTGGCCTTTGTGATAGAGTGCCCTCCAGGCTGACCACAAGTCAGTCAAAACCTTTTAGATGTGGGAGCAAGGAGCCAAGAAGTGAACACTAGTCGCTCAGAACAATGTAGATCAATGCTAGGATAGCTGTTTTCTCTAAGGAAGGATCTCAGTGTCCCAAGGAGCTTGCTTTCTGTAGCGAGGAGAGCACACTTAAACTCTGGTTCCTTCCTGTTCATCCCCTGATTCCTGTGAGTTTGTTATAGAGAGAGCACTGAGCTGGATTATGTTGTTGACAATGGCTTCTGTGATTTTTCATGTCTGTACAAATGTTGAAGTATGCTGGATGGGAGTTTCATGGCATGTGGTTTCTTAATATGGTCTGCATATTTTGAATTCCAGAATCTGTGTAGGCATTTTGCCAATGGTGTGTAAATTGAGGCTCACAGACTACTAGGCTGCCTTGTGAATTCGTAACGATAGTCTTCAGGGATGTTTCTGAGGCCAAGAGATCTTGGGTTGCAAAGGAGCTAGGGGTGCTTTAGGCAATCACATTAGAAAGTGGCCTCAAATTCTCCTTATTTGATTACCAGTTTCTCTTTACAGAAAGTAGATTTTAAAATGTTTTTGTTTAGGATTAAAATAAAAAATAGTAAAATCACCTGGGGTAGTTGGGGCTGTGTGAGGCTAGGGAAATGAGCTGGAAAAAGCAATATCCTTTAATTTCTTAATTTTACCTGTAAGATCACATGTATAGGCACCTAATGGTAATACTGTGAACCTCTTTTATCATGTAGTGGGAAATGAGTTTCTGAAGTAATTCTCATCTTGGGTGAAATTTTAACGATCCAGTGCTGCTGACTGCTCTAGCTGTATGACTAATTTCCAGCAGGGTGTGCTGTTGCTCTGTGTTTTAATTCACAAAGTCAGGGAAAGCTGAAAGAACATCAGTGGTTAAATTTAAGTTATATTTTCTGTTGTGTAGGCTTCATTTCTTATAAGTGGTAGTTAGTGTAATTCTGATCTAAGGTCAGCATCATAACTGATTGGAAAGCTGTTTGGAAATCTTCCTTGTAATGTTTACATGTAAATACTTAGGTCTCTCACTTAGTTTGAAAATCTCCTCATTTGAGGTGGGTAAATTCTTGTTTCCTCAAATGGTAAGGACATTTTGTGCTGTTTAAAATATAAAAAGAAAAATTTCCCCTAAATCTCATTTACTTTGTTCAGGCACTGACTTTCATGACAGCAAATAAATGTGTCACAAAGTGAGTGGTGCCATAAAGTACAGTAATTTTTATTTCTATGTTGAATTGGTCTTGTGAGTTTTGAAGGGAAAAATACAGAGAGAACCACTGCTGTTCTTTTGGAGATTTATTTGGGTCGTTTATGAGCAACCATTAAAAACATGTGGTTCTCTTTGTTCAGTTCAGTACCAGGAACTGAAATCTTCCGTTGAACTATTTTTGCTGAAGGATTGGTGATTTTGGAAGAATATTCATAAAACAGTCTGAAGTAGTTTTTCTTTTCTTGACTCCTGGATAACTTGCTTTATTGTTTACCCAGCTAGTTACTTTTAAAGAACACGTAATCAAGTCCTTTAATTTAGTAAACTGTGCTTATTTCACATGAAAGTTCATTAAATCTTTAAAGAGAAGAAAAGAGGCTGAAAAACCCAAATAAACAAATCCCCCATTTTATTTGTATCCATCCCTAATTCAGAACGAGGTTTATCTTAGCTTATTTTAGTTTTTGAAGATACAATTCTACTGGTTTGAAATACATAAATATTTTATTTCAACTGTGGTAATTCTTTCATCATTTCAGTTGATTGCTAAATTATAAACATTATTCAAAGTTTGTTGTGGGGAAGGAACTCCAGTTGTCTTATATAAACTAAAGGCTGTACTTAAATTATCCTTCCACTCTTAGGTTCAGGGAGCTATGCCTTGCTGCGCAAGCATATACACCGTGGCTGCCAGTGTGTTTGAGTTTTGCTGCCATGAACTCTGAAACAGTGAATCTAAATTATGGCCCTATCACAGCATATCAAGTAAGATGAAGTCCAGCTTTAATCCTAAATGGATTAAAAAACATGCCCTGAGGTTTAAATTGGAGCTGGTCTTCGAGCCATTACTCATGATTAATATTTGAAACTTAGAACTAAATGAAAATCCTTAAGATACTCATTTAAAACTAATAGAACCATCTCAGATTTTATGTAGAATGTTGTGGGTGGTACAAGGAGTCTGTTAAATAAATAGAATCAGAGTGTAGTCACAGGTCAGAAGTAAGCAGGAAAGACTTATGAATTGTAACCAAGTCCATGTATTTTATTTTATTCTGCTTAGGAGATAGAATTAATTTCAGAACCTCACCAGACATTTGTATGTAAAATATGGCAGCAGCTGCAAACAGAACCGACAGCTAATATCAGAAAAGGAAAAGCTTCAAAAAGCATAGCGTGTTGAGGCCACTTAAATATAGTGGCAAAAAGCACTGCTATTTGAACAGCTTCGGAGGACATTGCACGTGTCTGATAGGCAGGGTCGAGTGATTGCTCTCTATAGTGATAGCCCAAATTAATAAGCGGAGCTTAATTTCTGTTCAGTGTCATGTTTTTAAAAAAACAAAAAAGAAGGATGGCTGTAATTGTATAAGGGTTTTCATCAAATGGTTAAAAGTAAAAGAACTTTAGTACTTTACTTAACCGCACATTCCATGAACGTTACTGAGCATCTCCTACATTCAGCCTCTGTTCTAGGCCCTGGGGGTAGCAGGGAACAAGGCAGACGAGTGCTCTGCTCTTGTGGACTTCATCTACCTGGAAAACACTTCATGTGGAGAACCTCATTTTCCGATGATGCCAGATAAATGAGTCATTACTGTATTTGGGAAGTGCAAATAGAATTTAAAGTGTTCTAATTTGTTTCCACTTTAAGTGGAAATAGGAAATCGTCTAAAGACATAATTATTTTGAGTGAAATAATTTCCAGTAGGTGCAAAAATGAAATGAGAAGTCTGAATTTAGGCCTGCCATTAAATTTAATAGTATTTGAAATAGTATCTAAACTGCTGTGTTGAGGAAGTTTGGCTGAAAAGTAGATTTTGTCATGTTAGCTATAAAAATGGAAAGGCTTTCCTTAGAGGTGGAAACTAGGTCCAGAAGTAATACTTCTCTCTGTGTTTTACTGGCACAGTCAATTTAGTCAAGAAATATTATGTAACATTGACTTCTTGGAAATAAAGTAACTTAAAGAACACAGATAACACATTTAAAAACCTTCTCAGTGTATTTGTAGAACTCTTATGGGGACCCCTGACTTTACTGAATGGTTATATTTCAGCAAAATTGGCTGCACAATGGATCTTATTTTCTCAATGATTTTCATTATAAACTCAGATTTTTTTTACACAGGAAAAAAATACCCTTAATACTTTAAAGAGTGAAAACTTAGGGTAGAAATTAAGTTGGTGGGCAGTTCTGGGTGGAGGGATTACATGTTGTAGTGTCTCAGCAGGTCTACACTTATGTCCCCTTGTGGGGGGTGGTGTGAGGGGGGTGGCATGAGGTGGCAGGAAAGAAGTTCCCAGTACCCTGGGATGCTCTTTCTCACGTTCTGCTTTCTGCCATGACCCCTAAAGGCATTGACAGATTTTTTGGTTGTTTCTAGCAAGAACTCTAGAGCTGGACCAGAGATTTCCTTGGTACAACCATGTTGCTTCTGTTATGCCTCAACATGAGTTGAATTTGTTTCATGCAGTTTATCTTGTTTCATTTCCTAAATTACGCAGATGTAAAATGCTCTCGGCATTCCTTTGTTGGTACATTACTGTTCTTGAAAAAGCTTCTAGTAAGGTTTTGCCTTATTGCTTAGCTTGCTTTGCAGGGATGCAATGTGATGTGACCTATCGTCCGCTAGGTGCTGACGATAATCACTTATTTGGATCTGCATCTCAATATAGAGATGGTTCACTGCTAGAACTCAATACTGGTGAACAGTGTGGAGATTAAAGCAGAGTCACTCGTGAACTCTTGTTGTTTGCAAACATTTTGGTGGTTGAACCACATCTTTGCTACTATAGGATCATACTGTGGATTGATGGACTAGGAAGTGGAGCTGCCATTAACTTTATATTTATTTTCGGTATCCTTAAACCTGTTTTTCCAGTGGTATAAGGTTATATTCTGGGTCCCCAAGCAAGAATTCAGTGAGGGATGCTCTTAATGTTTCTGAACCTCACTGTAACAGACTTTAACTGAAGACAGTATTGGAGACCCAAGGATAATGTGTTTATTTTGGAATTAGCTTAGTAACCTTAACAAACTTAGTGAGTTTGAAAGTAACAATTACACTTTTATAAGTCCCATACAGCCCCCTTTTGTAATGACCCGAGGAAACACTTACAGTTCCACTGATTCATCTCCTGGGGACCATCAGTTTTCCATTGGTCTCTGGCCAGTCCTTTTTAGACAGTTTCTCTTCTATGCATTTAAAAAATAACATTTGTAGGCATTTTTTCTAAAAATAATACCTGTACTTTGTAGAAAATTTTAAATGAAAAAAATAAATAAAGAGAAAACCCTACTATCCATACATAATTGCCTTAAACATCCTGGGGTGTGTGTGTATATATATAAGATTAAATATGATTAAAAAAGATTAATATATGGACATTCACACATATGTATGTGTGGGTGAAAGGAGGTAGGTGTTTATACCTAAATTGGGATCGTCATATACTACTCTGTTTATTTAAATAGTATAATGGTATAAGTATCACTCAGAAAAAGAGAAACTTCATCACTTGCTCTCATTTAAAGTCTATGGCAAAAGATTAGCTTTGGCAAAATCTCCAAGTAGGCTAGTTATATTCTGCCCAACATCTGAAAAATTTGTTAAAATAACCTTTTTTCCTCATATAAATTTTCTGAGAGATGTTTGTTTTCCTATAATTTTATAGCTTGTTAAAGAATAAGAGAATTAAGAATTTAAAAATATGAGCTGGGGAAATGAAAAGCTTTTCTTCAGTGTCAAAATTCTTATAAGTGGCTACGCACAGGTTGACATCTAAATCAAGGAAAAAATGATGGACAAATCCACTAATTAAGATCTTGTTTACGATGTCTAGAATAATTTGAGAATAATTTGTTTTTCAGTGAAGTCTGGTGGCGTTAAGCCATTTCATCCCACAGCTTGAATTTCTTCAGGCATGTTTGCATTTCAGGGGCTGAGGCAGGGAGGGAGGACATCTGGTTTATTAGCTGTGGTATGGCATGATTTGTTGGACTTTGGAGTAAGACGCAACTGCACAGCTTCATCACTTAGTTACTGTGTGGCCTAGGGCAAGTTACTTAACTTCTCTGGGTCTCAGATTTTCTTACCTGTAACATTTGGGTGGGTAATAGTTTTACTCTCATGGAAGTGAGAGTTTGAGATAATACAAGATTAAATGAGGTACTGCGTCTAGCAAATACCAAGTTTTAGTGAATGGGAATTCTCTCCCGTGTCTCTTACGTTCAAAATACCCTTAGTGTTAGCTAAATTGGATTAAAAGTTTTGACAACTTTTTTGGTAAATCAGCTATAAATGCAGGGGTTTGAAAGTCATTTTTGGGAGAGAAAACTTTTGGTAAATCAGCTATAAGAGGCAGTACAAGCTCCTTAAGCCAGTACTGTTTTGTTCAAAATAAGTTTTCCTTCAGGGCAGTTGCTAATGCTTAATTGTGTGTGTGTGTGTGTGTGTGTGTGTGTGTGTGT